CCCCACACACACAAAACAAAAAAAATTAAAAAAATAAGGGAAATGCATGTTATGCTGTCTGGTCTGGCTTAATCCTTAATTATGTATCATGTGCTATTGCACGAGTTACAACTTGCGCGTTTTCCTTGTTTTGGCCTTGTCCAAACTTCTGGCAGGAATGGCAATGGGGCGGGGTAGGTGCGAGTTGGAGCTTAATCCGCAAAATTTCAACCCGCCCCGGCCCGCATTTTTTTCGTTTCATTTTGTTATTTTTGCTAAGAAAACACAAGTTTAATATCTCAGTTTTTTTCGAGTTTCTCAAATCCCTCATATGAATTCAAATATTATATTTCTATTTTCAGAGATTGTAATAGAAAATAAATAAATTGAAACGCGTAAGAACTAAAAAATTAAATGAATTGAAAAGCATAAAAACTAGAAAATAAATGAATTGAAAAGAATAACATTAGCTTATCGTATACCTAAATTTACGTAGTAACTTATACTTAATAAATTACCATATAATAAATATTAATTTTTTTATAACTAGTTTATAAATATAATATGTAAGCTCATATATGTTTGCTGATACTTTAAGTGAAATATGATATAACAGTAGTGGACAATGTCCTTGGCACGAATAGGTGAATGTCTTGTATATTTAACAGTAATAATTGCATAGTCATATTCTCTAGTCACTCTATATTATTGCTTGCCTTATTTTGTACGATCTATAGTGATTTCCATGGTGTAAACCCGCAAGGAAACCTGCAACCGCCCCACATTAGATTTTGGAAAAACAGTTTCAACCCACCCCGCCAGATTTGAGGTGTTTGGTCAACAAGAAAAAGTATTTTTAGGTAGCAGCAGAAGAAATAATCTCTTTCTTTGAGAAAGAAGCTACAAATTTCTGCTTCTTAAGCAGAAGTAGAAAATTATTTTTTTCAAGATATAATATCGTTATAAAAAACTTATATTTACCAAACTATCCCTCATTATATTAGCCCATCTATCTCTAAATTATAAATACAACCATCTTCTCCTTTTTTTTTGGTTTTACTATATTTATATTGTTTTTAAATCATTTTTCTTATTAAATAATACTCCCTCCGTTTCAATTTATGTGAACCCATTTGACTGGGCACAGAGTTTAAGAAAAGAGAGAAGACTTTTGAACTTGTGGTGTACAATGAGACACATATTTTGTGTGGTTATAAACAAAAGATTGGTCAAACACAATATGTTTATCAAATATTGAACAAAGTACTTCTCGAATAAATTGGCCAAACACAAGTTGTTACTTTGCAACAATATTTCTCATATTTTGACAAAGTGCTTCTCAAAGTAGACAATTTCTGGGAGTTTGACCAAACAGGCTCTAAAAGCCATGACTTTAAGCGCTTTATCGCTTAACGCAATGAAGCTATGTGAAGCCAGGGCTTATCGATTANAATCAAGCATCATATTCTTTTACAAGACATGGGATCCATATGGTGGCTTCTCAAACTTCTCTCTCCATCCATTTCAAATGCCTAATGAAAATGGAGAACTTGTCATCTGGTCCAGTGTAGAGCATTATTACCAGGTCATTTTCTTGAAAAGCATAAAGATAAGACTTTATTATTTGCAGCACCTTTCAGACATTTGATAACTAGTTCTTTAATTGCAGGCACAAAAGTTTGTTGGGGCATCTGATCCTGTAGCTAAAAGCTGCATGGAAGAAATACAATGTGCAAAGAGCCCTGAGGAAGCAGCACGAATAGGAAGGAGAATACAGAGGCAGCAACCTAATCTGGTATTCTTTACATTCTTCTTACAACATATTCCTATTGCTTCTCCATATACTATCATTTTCCCGGTAATTCTTTCTTTCTAGGCTGCTTTATTCATGTGTTCCAGAAAGCATAAGCATGCCACTTCAAACTGGTGGAACAACATGATCAATTGTATTGTAAATACTTGACCGAAAATTGGGTGAGGTCAGAAGCTACCTACCCCCTATTAGATAGTATCTCCAAAGTGGCTTACTGAGCCAAAATAAATAAATTTAAACCCAACAGAAAGTGTTTTGTTTGTCGTTACGAGGTAAAGCTAATTAATTCAAACAATGAAGTTTTATAAAATAAAAAAAGGAGTTTTGGAAAGATCGCTGGCAGACAGCAGATCCCCAGTAGTACTGGTGTACTATCCACAATCCCAGGGTCTAGGACGCAGTAGGTCAGATTTCGGAGAAAGATGCTTCAAAAAAGTAGTGACGCTGATACGTGGTGGCAGTACTATGCAGAGGACAATTTGTAACATGGAAGTATTGCCAGTGTGCAACGAAGAGTTGTAGTTCAGTAGCAAACATTACCTTGGGATTCCACACTTTAAAGTTTGGCAGAATACCTAAAGACCCCCTTGAACTTGGCGCGTTTTGTTCAGGTCCCCCTTCAACTTTACCTAGTCCTAATTACCCCCTTGTACTTGGTTTTTTCATCGTCTTTACCCCCTCAAATGGCCACCTGGCAGAGAAAGTGGTTTTACTCGTCCTTTGACGCGTGAGAATGAAAAATAACAGCCACATTTATTGTTCAATTGGGAGAATACAGATTAAAATACCATTCCTTTACTTTTTAACCATTTCAACGGCCATTTCTTTATATTCTTCAATATAACTTCTTTCATCCTCCACTAAAGTACTGTTTTTTCTTCTTTTCTCATTTTTCTTTTTTTTCTCATCCTCCACCAATATTGTCTCCCTTTGCTTTGCATCTTTCTTCTGGATTTCATGGTGTTCCTATTTATCCTATGATTGTTATTGTGATACTAATATTGTCTCCTTTTTATCATTTTGTCTTTTTATTTTTTTGAGCCGAGGGTTTTTCGGAAACAGTCTTTCTACTCCTTCGGGGTAGGGGTAAGGTCTGCGTACACACTATCCTCCCCAAACCCCATTAGTGGGATTTTAATGGGTTGTTGTTGTTGTTGTTGTCTTTTTTTTTATTTCTTTCTTTATTAGATACTTTTTATTCACTCGCTTCCATTACTTATTATATTATTGCCTGTTGCTTTATTTTTACCATTCCTTAAGCCGGGGGTCTATTGGAAACAACCTCTCTGCTTTTATAGGGTAGGGGTAAGGCTGCGTACACACTATCCTCCCCTGACCCCACGTATGAGATTAAGCTGGGTTTGTTGATGTTGTTGTTGTTTGTTAGTCTTATTTATTGGTTGCCTCTGTTAGTGGGTTACTATTGTTTATAAAGAGAGTTACAGTGATGAATTGATTGGAATTTTTACTTTCGAGAGCAAGAAACTCAGATTTTCCAACTCCCTAAACCCAAACCGAAAGTCAACAGAGATGGGTCGGAAGTACGAGCTTGGGAAATCGTCTGAGGAAAGCCCTAAAATTTCTCTAACAGATATAAGAGAGTGTCTCTTTTGAAACTTAGAAAAGAAAAATATCGATGCTTTGTAATTTTTAGTTTGGATTTTTTTTTTTTTTGAACTTTAGACTAAATTATTTAAGTTCAGGTAATTAAAAAGTTATTTTTTTGCCAATGTGGACAGCCACATCAGCTATTATTCCAATCTGGTAGGCGTGTGATTACACGCTTATAAGCTTGTATGGGTTAAGGAGGTAGGGACTATGAAAAGAGTACAAGAGGGTAATTAGGACTAGGTAAAGTTTAAGGGGGACCTGGATAAATAAAACACGCCAAGTTTAGGGGGTCTTTAGGTATTCTGCCGTTTGTTTCTAAATTCCTTTTCTATTTCGAGCATATTTAAGAAATTTGGACATGGATGATCCATCTTAACGTAATCTTTCTGATGTACGCAAGAAATACTTGGTCTTTACGATTTAGGCTATTGGTTTGCACCATACTCTTTTTTGCTGCATCCCAATGGGACATTTTATACCTTTATTAATGGTCCGTAGTGTATAATGCAGTTAAGCTCTAACTTCTATTCATTCCCCTCTTCTCTTCCTGTGTATTCCAGGTAAGACCAGACTGGGAATCTGTCAAGATTGACGCCATGTATAAAGCCTTAAAATGCAAGTTCGCAACATACCCCTATTTAAACTCTTTGTTGCTCTCAACTGCGGGCTCTGTTCTTGTGGAGGGTTCACCACATGATCTATTCTGGGGAGGAGGTCGAGATGGAGAAGGCCTAAACTATCTTGGAAGGTTGCTGATGAAGTTGAGATCAGAGTTCCTAGGTGACTCTTCAACAAGTCAAAATTCTTTGCTTCATCAAACATCAGAAAATAAATACTAGTGAAATTTCCATCCTAATAATGTTAGACTAATGTTGTAATCTAGCAAGAAAAGTGATCCTTTTGATCATCGTTTATTTATGTATCCTTGAGAATCTTTTCATTCTTGAACATTGAGAAAGCTCCTACTATTGGTCCTATTTGTGTGTAATAAATCCTATTTTGGTTCTCGTGGAATATTACTGTATTTTGAGTTTGTGGCTCATTAATGTAATAAGAGGATGAGTTTTGATTATTTTAAGTTATATGCTGATACTTACTAATTTGACATTATAAAGAAGTATTAGAGTAATTGCACCACAAATATTGCAAGTTAAAGCAAATATGCATTTTTTGATTTCCACAAGGGAACTGCTATTTTCATTTGAAAGTAAGCTTATCCACGCCCTCTTTAATTATCATCCATCGTACTAAACCAAAAAATGCCCTTGTTAAAGCCTAGTTAAGAGGTTACTTTATGGTATTATCTCAAAATGATTTTCACTTTTCATTTCGTGAAAGGCAAATTTAAGTGAACTTGAGTAAAAGCTTGATCCAATTCTCTTTCCTATTATGTATTTCGAACCCATACTACAATCTTATGTTCTGTGAAATTAAACCTAATAAAAGCAAACTGGAACACTATTCAGCCTAATTTGTGTGACACAAGAATTAAGCTTTGATGGAAAATGTCAAATATTGGATGATAAGATAAAATAATATGTCAAAAAAAAAAAAAAAAAAAAAAAAAAAAAACTGGAAATGTAGTCATTAAGGTAGATAGGATGTTTATTATAGTTTCAATTACTGAATAATTACTTTCTAAATACTCCCTCAATTCACTTTTACTTGTCCAGTATTCTAAGAATAAATCTTTACTTTTACTTGTCACTTTTAGCATATCAAGAGAAGACAATTTTTTTTTCCATGTTATACCCACAGTATTAATTACTCATTTCAAATTATTTTCTCAAATCCATTAAAAATATGCATCAATTAATATGGGTATCATGGTAAATTATGCACTTCATTTATTATTTCTTAAGGGGCGTGCAAAATCCATAGTGGACATGTAAAAGTGAACGGATGGAGTATCTAATGATGGATAATTTTGACCTTAAAAATCAAACAGTACTAAATAAAACGAGATGGATAAAGATAGTGATTAAAAAGTGAAACTTTAATTTAATAGGAGTACTAAACAACATGTTTTTGGCAATTATAAATTTTGAACTTGTACCTAATAAATATGCTACATATTTTAATAAGTAAAAGCTTTAATATCTAGGGGACAAGAATCTGTCAGCTTAAGTGGCAATTTTCTTGCCGTGTTCTAATTAATTGGTAATAAACTCTATTTTGTTCCACAAAGCTATAACAACACGCAATCGTTAAACCTTAGAAATAATGTTTAAAGGAAAAATCTGAAACTAGTTGAATGAGAATTAAGGGGATGAAAGAAATCTTCTACTGCTAATAATTTGAGTTTAGTGTTCAGATTCTACAGTATATATAGCACTAAACGATCCTTTTATTGCTGGATAAAATTTGAGTTGATTAATGTTCAGATTCTACTATTTAGCACCAGAAATAAGCTTACATCAAAATGTTGGAATGTGATTATGCTATTCGTTTTGGAGTCTTTTTCATGGAAACTTTACAAATTTAACTTGTTTTATTCTCAACCACAAGGGATTTTTAAAAAAAATTATATATATACTTAAACCACTCATTAATTGGTTAAACAAAAGCATCCAGTGTGATTTCATTATTATTTATTCACCGTTCAAAATAGTTTGACAATTACGTATTTACATATTTACTAACTCAAAAGCAAAAGAAACCTTATTATATTTGAAACATCAGAGAAACAGTAAGAACCAAATCATTTTATAAGAAAGCTAGCTCATTAATTGATCATTCTAACTCTTTTTCACTTAAGTATTACTATAATTATGGTCTAAACACGTATAACATGTGGGAAAAAGTTTAAATTAGAATTTGCTAATCGAATTGACAGGGATTAAACACAATGATCAATAATGATGTTTTTCCCTTAAGGTCAAAATCATGTCGTGTGATAAGAAGTGCTTTTGGACAAGTCGGTTTTATTTTGCTTTTTGTTTTTTTTGTTTCTAACAATGTATATAAAACGTGAATAATGAGGTTTGTGAATTCATGAAAGCTGACATAGGTTACTTTTTTTCTTCCTTTATTTTATAAATTCTTCAATTATTTTTTTGGAAGTACATATATCTTTCAGCTCCACCTCAACTTTTAGGTGATTAGCTTTCCGTCATTTATTTGCAGGTTTGGGAATTTAAACAGTAATCGTAGGAGGAGAGATCAAGGGTTACAACAATTTGCAATAACTGAAATTTTATTGAATTTCTATCCTTTAAGTTATTATATACATAGAAGGTGTAAAATAAATTATATATTAGCGTAGTTTAACTTATTATAACATGTTACTTATCATTTATTCTACTACTAATCAATGGTACACTTCTTCTCTTCTTCCCTAACATCTAAAAGAAAATAAAAAGTCTCTTCGATTTGGCGAAGAACTTATGTGAAATATTCCTAAGAATATTCATTCGAGAAAAAAATAAATTCTCTGTAACTCAAATATGATCATAGACGGTGAACTTTTCATTACAATCCGTATTTATATACATGTGATTATGATGAGTTTAGAATAGAATGTTCGCAGTGTGAAATTAAGATGTTTGTTTTAAGTCCTTTTCGTGGGAACTTCATAAACCACTTGAATTATTCTCAAATCACATCCCTGGATTTATTTTTTAAATGAAAAAAATGAATTGATTAATTAAACAAAAGAATCGATTAAATTAATAATATTTTAGTCAATACTTAAACTAGCTAGTTTGACAATTAGATATTCACATATTGACCGTATGTTATTATTATTTGTTTAATATTTTGTTTAGTCATGTTGCTTAAAAGCAACAGAAACCTTATTATATTCGAAATCCACAAACTACTTCTTGATTACTGAAATGGGTAATGATAGAACCTGATCATTTTAAAAGAATTGCAAGCTCATTAGTCATTGCAACTCCTTTTCACTTAATATTAATATTAATCCTATGGTCCAATCAAGTATAACATGCTAGAACAAGTATAAATTAAAATCGATATAATCCAATCGACAAGTCTATATAGTTTAAACAACATGATCAATAATGCTGTTTTTGTTTTACAAGATCAAATCATGTCGATTGTCTACAACTTCATCAAGCTTTTTGACAAATTAGTTTTGTTTTGGTTATTATTTTTTATTTTTAAGAGTGTAGCGTGAATCATGAGGTTGTCTTAGAAGTATAATGGATCTTTCAGCGACAGTTCTAACAATTTGATGGCGTTTTAAAAATTCCAAATCCAAATAGAAAATATGTGATGTAATCATATGATCTCCCTGCAATTAAAACACCGTCCAACTCTAGTTTAATATTTATCTTTAAACTTTCACAATTAGATTTTTGCACTAGTTATGTGTTTATTATTAATGCTAAAAATAAAAATGTAAGCAAGCGGGTTGACGAGGACAAGTCAAGGAGAAATATTTGACAAATTTATGGGTAGCAAGCTTCCAAAGAAGGATGCATATGACACCTTAGACAAATTCTAGATTGAAAATCAAAAGGAGAGGAAAGTGAAATGCCATAAAAGAAAGGGGAACTTTCAGAAATGACTATTGTTTGGAGGCTTATTGTTGGGTGTAGCTATAATTTAGCTAATTATATTTCATAGCTACTAATTGCTTGTCATGTGATGTATGTCTCTGTATTCAATTCAGTTGTATACACTGTATTCAATTCGGATGTATTCGTTCTTATATAGTTTACATTCTATTTAATTTCACTGTATTGAATTCAGTTGAATTCAAACAACAAAAAATCAAGAAGTAAGGTGTATAGAGCTCTATTCAATTCGGCTATATTTATTATTAACTATTTTACATTGTATTCAATTCGACAAAAGACTAGAAAAATAATGATATTCGTCTGTATTCAATTCACTGTATTTATTCGTAGCTGCTTTTACATTGTATTCAATTCGCTGTATTTATTTGTAGCTGCTTTACATTGTATTCAATTCACTATATTTAATTCGGCTATTTACAAAAAACTAAAATTCAAAAAATAGAGGGATATGCCATAGAAAATGATGTGTGTCTATAATTCATGGTTTCGCACATTATTCGCCTTGCATTTTATACGCTTTAATGATAAATTACACTTTACTTGCTCGTAATGAAGTCCATTTTATGTGTAGGTGAATTGGAGATGAAAGTAGAGCAAAAGGAATACTTAAAAGTCGAAAGCGTGCTCGGGAGCAGTTGAAAAGGAGAAGCTGGCAAAGCCAGGCCTACACCAGGTGTTATACCTGGCTAAGCCAGGCCTAGAGCAGGCCTTATACCTGGCGACGCCAAGCTTGTAGCTGGCGAGAGACCTGGCGAGGCGGGGCAGAAGGTGAGCTTGACCAGGCAGTATACCTGGCGACGCCAGGCTTGGGGCGAGGTCCACCAGGAGTTAGGCCCCACGAGGCCAGGTCTGGGCGTGTACAGTCCAAGTTTTGAAGACTTATTTCGTCTCCGGGTTTGACTAGGACTTTGCTTACACGTTTAGGTCTTTTCCTACACATATAAATAGACCTAAAATGCCACTTTTGGAGGACTTTTGCAACCGGAGGCAAGAATAGCTTGTGGAATCACCCTTTGGGAGTTAGAATCATCGATTTCTACATCCTTTCATCTTTACTTTGTAATTCAATTATGCAAAATATTTGGGATATTGTTACTATGAGTATAAGTAGCTAAACTCCTAATCTAGGGTTTTGATGGAACCTATTGAAGGATGATTTTCTTGTTACGTTAATATAAATTTGCCGTAGTATTTTCTCTATTTGTTCAACTATATTATTCATGTAGTTGATTGAAGGGCCCTCAATTAGCTGTGCCTATTTAGTATGTATTACTCGGGAGAGAGTGCATATTTAGGTAGTTGTTGAATGACATCAGTCTTAACGTATATGAGGGATCAATACAAAGGGTTTAAAGGTGGGATTAGGGATAACGAAATCTTGGTGCGATCTGAGTGAGCAGTACTTAATGTCATCTAGCGTAATTCGGGAGAATATGTCTAGTAAATTGTGGTAATTACTCAGGAAAGAGTTACGACAGTCATAGTGCTCATGATCGATAGAGAAGACTTAGGCGAATTTATAGAAAATATAGCAGAAA